AGACTATTGGAAGAAGAGACAGTCCAGACAAAGAGTATTATAGACTGGATTAGAACAGAGGTGGTACCCCAGAGCAATGGGGAAAAGACATAGTTTAGTAAGTGGTATTGTGACAATTGAGAAAATGAAGCTGGACTCCTTGCTTTCTTATAATGAACAAAAATTACTTTCAGATGGATTGTAGACCTAAATGTGAAAGAAAAAAAAAAAAAGATAAAGCTTTTAAAGCAATATAAAACAGTATACTTATGATCTTGGGGTAAAGGAAAACATTTTAGAGAAGTTCCAAAGTACACGAAGGATAAAGTAAAATGTTGATAAATTTACATCAAAATGAACAGCTTCTGGTCACCAAAGAACACTGTAAAGAGAGATGAAACACAGGCCACAAGACGAGGGAAGATGTTTGCCATACGTAATTCACCAAGGTTTCAAAGCCAGAATATACAAAGAGTTCCTACAAGTCAACAATAAAAAAGAGAATCCAACTTCCCCATACCTACCAAAGAAAGATTTAAATGGGGACTTCACAAAAAAAAAGGAAATACAAAGAAGAAATATAGATGCCGGGGTGGCTCAGTGGGTTAAGCCTCTGCCTTCGGCTCAGGTCATGATCTTAGGGTCCTGGGATCGAGCCCCACATCCGGCTCTCTGCTCAACAGGGAGTCTGCTTCCCCCTCTCTCTGCCTGCCTCTCTGCCTACTTATGATATTTCTCTCTGTCAAATAAATAAATAAAATCTTAAAAAAAAAAAAAAAAGAAATACAGATGCCCAAAAAACTTATGAGAAGGTGTTCAAATTCATAAAGATGTGAATTAAAATCACAAAGCAGTACCATTACATATACTATCACACAACCAGACTGACTAGTATCTTAAAATCTGACAATACCAACTGGCAGATAAAATGTTGGGCAAAGGTGGGAGTGCACCAGTGTGCACCAGTGAGATCACTCTGGAAACTGGCACTGTCTCCTGAAGCAGAAGACAAGCATGTCTCCTCACGCAGGAAGGCTCACCTGGCTACGTGCCTGGCAGACATGTGGACTGATGTGTGCCCAGATACATGTACTGGATTGTTCATGCAAGGTTTTTAATAAGAGTGAGAAAACTTGAGTTACTCCAACAACAGAGGAAACGTCCGTATATTCCAACAACAGAACACTGTTACTAAACGAACAAACTCAAAACTACACGCAACACCACAAAGTAACATATCCCATATGGTTTCACATATTTCGAGTTCAGAAACTCGAACTTATTATTAACTTATTCTGTTTGGAAGTAGATCCTTAGGTGCTAAGACCAGAAACAAAATTAAGGACGTGATGAACATCTACATCCGCAGGCCGTCACCACGAGGCAGGGAGGGAGTGGTGGTCAGGAGGGCGGGGAGGGCACACGTCCGGAATGACCTCAGTAACAGCCTCGTGGGCAAGTGCTTCACAAAAACTCCTTACACTTGGCACGCCTGAGTGGCACAGATGGCTAAGCATCTGACTTCAGCTCAGGTCATGATCTCACGGTCCTGGGATCGGGCTCCCAGCTCAGCAAGGAGCCTGCTTCTCCCTCTCCTTCTACTGTTCCCCTGCGTGTACTCTCTCACTCTGACAAATACATAAATAAAATCTGAAAATGAAACAAAACAAAACAACCCTCCTTACACGTTACATCCAGTTATCTGTATGGGGTATATTTTACAATAAAAAAAGTTTAAAAGTTGAAAAAAAGAGACAGTAAAGGAGAAAAGGCATCTAATAATCCCAATAGATGTAAAAGAAGCATTATATAAAATTTAGACCTCATTGAGGATTTTTAAAAACTCTTAGTTTATTCTATGTAATAAATCACTTGTACTCTTCAAAACTGTCAAGAATATCATGAGAGGCAAAGAAAGGCTAAGAAACTGTTAGAGATTAAATGAGCCTAAAGAAACATAATAATCAAATGCAGTCCATGATGCTGGGTTAATTCTGCACCTAAAAACCAACCAACTAAACAAAAACCCTGACTTAGAGGACACTCTTGGGACCACTGAACAATCTGATTAAAACCTGCATATCAGAAGGGCACCTGGGTGGCTCAGTCAGTTAAGCATGACGACTCTTGGCTTCAGCTCAGGTCACGATCTCAGGGTCCTGGGATCAAACTCCGCATCAGGCTCCACGCTCAGTGCAGGGTCAGCTTGGGATTCTTGCCCTTTGCCCCTCCCCCGACTCACATGCTCTCTTGTGCTATCAAATGGAATAAAATCTTTATTAAAATTCTAGATATTAGGTAACAGTATTGAATCAAAGTTCAATTTCCTGACTCTGATCACTATACTGTGAGTCTATAAGTGAACGGCAATGTCCCCGTTAGACAAACGCACACGAGAGTCACCATAGAGAAAGCAACGTGATAGCTACACTTACTCTCAAATGGCTCAAAAAAAAAAAACTGTGAAAATAGAGAGAGAGCAAATGTTAATTCGAACATGGCAAAAGGCTGACAACTGCTGAATCTGAGTAAAAAATAGATAGGAATTCTACTACTCTTCAAACTTTTAAGTGTGAAGTTATTTTAAAAGTTTAAAAACAGGGGCTCCTGACTGGCTAAGTTGGTAGAGCATGAGTCCCTGGATCTTGGGGTTGTGAGTTCAAGCCCCACACTGGACATAGGGATTACTTAAAAATTTTTTTTAAATTGTTTTAAATTAAGGGGCACCTGGATAGCTCAGTCAGGTAAGCATCTGACTTCAGCTAAGGTCACGATCTTGGGTCCTGGGATCAAGCCCCGCATCTGCTGCTAGGCCCTCTGCCCCTGCCCTTGCTTATGCATACTCTCTCACTCCCTCTCTCTCAAATGAATAAATGAAATCTTTGAAAAAATTAAAAACTTTAATTAAAAAGATATAAAAATAATCTCTTAACAAATTAGAAATATAACTCTTCCTAAGCTGATAAGATGTAGCTACTAAAAATATAAAACAAGACAGGAAAAGAAGAAATCAAAACACAGCATCGTAAAGTATGCAGAAAACCCAAGAACTGGGGAAGTTATTAAAATTAATAAGTGAACTCAGTATAATCAAAGGAGACAAAGTCAAAATATAAAAATCAATTCCATTTTCGCATTATCAGCAGCAATTAGAATTTAAATTCTTAAAAAATGATACCATTTACATTCACGTGGAAGATCAAATACTTAGAGCTAAATTGAAAAAGTTACAGAAGATCTCTACAACAGGAAACACATACACACAGAGAGAAATTAAAGCAAATCTTTTAAGAAATGGAAGGATTAGAAAACTAAATATTGTAAAGGTGTCTGTCAATACTTTACAAATTGATTTATAGATGCAATGTGATTCCAGTGAAAATCCAGCAAGTTTTCTTTTTCCCCTAAAAATTGAAGAACTGGTGCTAGAATGCATTTCGAAATGCAGAGAGTCAAGAACCGCCAAGATAATCTTGAAGAACAACAAAGTGGGAGGACTCACTCTGCCTGATACCTAGATTTTGACGAGAAAGTTACAGTAATGAGGGCAGGGTGGTCCAGGCACAACGACAGATAAACAGACCCAGGAAGCAGACTAGGATGTCCAGATATAGACACTTGCTTTAAGACCAAGGTGGCAAAGCAGAGCACAGATAAAAGGTAGTATTTTCAATAAATGGCACTGGGTCAAGCGCTTAACACATGGAAGGAAACGAAACTTGAGCCCTACTTCACATCATACACAAAGAAAGCAATTCCAGGGGGACTGCAGATCCAAATGTGAAAGGTGAAACAGTAAAACTTCAAGAAGACAATATAAGGAAATACCTTTTTTTTTCCCTTTTCTTTTTAGGTAGGCTCACGCCCAACATTGAGCCCAATCGAGGTTTGAACTCAGGACCTTGAGATCAAGACCTGAGCTGAGATCAAGACTCAGATGCTTGACCGACTAAGCCCGCCAGGTGCCCCATAAGGAACGATCTTCATGGTCTTAGGGGAAGAGTACATTCCTTATACATGAGAAGAAAGCACTAAGCATAAAAGAAAAAGCTGAGAAACCGTGAACCACATTAAAATTAAGAACTGCGCGTCAAAAGACATCACTCAGAGCACCCTGACTTCCTGATCTGTAACACTGGCACAGAAAGTGGACTCACTCAGCAGCAGTGCCCGTGAGCCTTCTACAGTTCAAGAGACACAGACAGTAAATAGATATGGAGTAGAGACTCAGCGAGCATCGTCCAGTTTTCACAAAATGGTGCACTTAAGGAAAGATTCGAGGGAAGGCTGCAGGGGGGGAAGTCCGGAGGACAGCTCAGGACAAGAAACACACCAGGGCTTGTGCATGGATGGAAAGGGAGTGCGTCACAGGCAAGACGGAAGAGGCAGAAGACAGAAGGCATATCTGACGGAGGAATGGAGACCAGAAGAGACATACCTCCCCCTCTGAGGCAGGAGGGAAGAATGCCCTCAGACTCAGGTCGGGGCAGGCTGTCAGTGGAAAGAGAGGTCTTAGCTTCTGCTTTCTTCATGACGGAAGAGTCAAGGTCACCCGTTGAAGACACAGGGTCTGAGGCTAGAGTAGAATCCTGCCAGCCCCATGAGGAGTGACAATACCACAGAGCAGGACAGCTGCACCGGAGTCCCGGAGACAGGACAGTCGAGAAACAGAACGAGTGAGCAATGCTCCAAGGTTTGTCAATTAGGCGACACATTTTCCTCTTCTGAGGAGAGCACATGCGAAAGAAACCCAGTTAGCAATCCTAATTATTTAAACCCCATTAACTCTCATCCGCATTTGATTCCTGGCTCACCAGGTGATCAGTAAGACAGTAACAAGAGTAATGAGGAAACCTAATCAAAGGGTGCCATTCAGACAGAATGCCAGCCGCCTGGAAACAACCCCCATTCCACCTCACCCGTGAGGGTCCTCAAAGCTGTCACAGAGAAGTGGTGACTACTGGCAGCTTAAATCAGACTCCGCAGAGGGCTGTAAGTATGGGAAGGGCTGAGGCGCTCACCGGTTGAAGATGTTCTCACTGAAAGCATACTTCTCCAGGCGAGCGAGTGGAGGCAGGTTATCCTGGCCTGGGATGTCCAGAAAGGCTGTTACCCTCATGCTGTCACGATCTGGGCCATAGTCTTCAAATCCATCTAAAGGGGAAGAGGGGAAAAAACCACATTCATCAGGTCACAATTAAGCAAAGGGCAGGCCCTCACAGCATGATTTCTACCCTCATGGCCTGTCCCGTGGGAGCCTCTGGGTCCCCAAACTTGACAACTCACCTAAAATGAAGTGGGTAGGTTTAGAACCCAAGAGAAGGGTGACAAAACCAGAGTCATAAAGAAAACCTAAGTGTCCTTTCAGTGCCACCAATCTGGTGTGAGTCACCTCTGGTCAACATGGATGGTCCGGAACCTCTCCTCTACCAGGGAAGTCAGGACCCTATGAGAAACCTCCATGGCGTGCTATGCAAACAGGTGTAAAACAGTCAAAAGCAAAACAGGAGTCTGGCCTCATAAGCAAAAATATGCCAGAAAGTCGATCCCTTATTTTGTCTTGTCCTGAATGAGCTGGTCATATAGCTTCCTGAACATGTGATGTTGATGCCCATCAAACCACAGGAGAACACCTGACCAGACCCCGCCCCCCAAACATGGATGTCCATCGGCTTCCTCCAACTCCCCACTCTGGCCAAAAATGAGCCTGTGGTCATACTGGACATAGCACCCTGAAGCCTGCTCCTCCCCTTACCCCCAGCTGAGGGCAGGAAGACCCTCCCTCCAGTGCAATGGAGTGGCATGGCTGAGCTCATGGGCACTGGAGTCAAACATCGTTACAATAAGATGACTCCCCCAACCACAACTTACTGGCTGTGTGACCACAGTAAGTGATTTAACCTGTCTACACTTCCATGTTCTTTTATCAGGGATGATACAGAATGCTCCATCAGGACTTTGAAACAAGGGAGTCTGGGCATGTCAAGACCTGCAGGATTTAGCCCCTCATAATCTGTCCAACCTTGACCGTGGCCACCACCCTTTACCCACCCACGCTTCAGGGGCATAAACGCTTCCCTACTATCACCTGCACTGAAATAACTGGGTAAGGAGCACTAGTCATGCAAAAAAAAGCAGAGGATTCCTACCTGGCAGAGAGAAAAACCAGTTAATTTAGGCAGTAACTGATAAGAGTTTAAAATAAGAAATGACACGTTTGTGCCGAGGTATTTACTTTGAAACACTAACCACAATTTTTTCTCCACAAATTCTTCTACGCTAGTAATTAGAGCTTATTAAAAATTTACACTGTGTAACAGTTACCCAGAGAATTTTAATAAAGACGTATACATTTGTAGAAAATAGATGTGTGATGCAATCAAATACATCATTTCTTACAGGATCCTTGCCAGGGAGGAATGGGTCCCCACTGAGTCACAGCCAAGTCCCACTAACCACAGTCACTTTGTATGAGCTATTTTCAGTGCATTTCAGGGCCCAGGAGAAACATGCAGCCTCCATCCCACAGATATTTACAAACAGTGTGGACCTAGCCTGCAGTGGACTTTAAAACATTAAGTCTAAAGCAGAGTTCATAGGGTGCCTGGGTGGCTCAGGTCATGATCTCAGGGTCCTGGGATCAAGCCTCACGTCAGACTCCCCACTCAGCAAAGAATCTGCTTATTCCTCTCCCTTTCCTTCTGCCCCTCCCACTATTTGTGTTCACTCTTTCTCTCTCTCTCTCTCTCTCTCTCTCTCAAATAAATAAATAAATAAAATCTTTAAAAAAATAAACAAAGCAGTTTGCTAAACTTTTGGGAATCACAGATAGTTCTGGAACCTGACGATGGCCACAGATATGCATAGTCAAAACTTTTCATAAAGAATCTGGGGTTTCGGGTGCCTGGGTGGCTCAGCGGGTTAAGCCGCTACCTTCAGCTCAGCTTATGATCTCAGGGACCTGGGATCGAGTCCCGCATTGGGCTCTCTGCTCAGCGGGGAGCCTGCTTCTCTCTCTCTCTCATTCTCTCTCTCTCTCTGCCTACTTGTGATCTCTCTCTGTCAAATAAATAAATAAAATCTTTAAAAAAAAGAAGAATCTGGAGTTTCAAAAGATCCTCCGAGGTCCACCTGTGTACTCATGGGTTAAGAACTGCTGTTTTAAAGTAACAAAAAATAGGCAGGCATTCTTCAAAAAACCTGCCGGAGAACTAAAGAACTTTGCAATTAGTTTCACAAAAGAATAACTGTTAATAGAGAATATTAATGATTCTACTATGCTAACTATAAAACATTATACTAACTGTGTACACGGAAATAGGAGCCATAAACCACACGATACCGGTAATAACTAATGTTCATTGGTTACTTCCGGGAACTGTGCTCAAAGCTTTGTGTACAGCAGTGGTTCATTAAATTCTGACAACAACCACATCATCCCAGAGCTGAGGCTGACGGAAGCCGAGAAAGCTGCCAGGGCCACAGGGCTAGAGAGGAGCAGGTCAGAACCCCAACTCCAACAGCCAGACTCGAGACACCGCCACGCTGTGTCGCCCGAGGAAACCTGCATTCTCATTTTCAAAGAAAGCCTGTCCACCTGCCCATCTGAGTTGCTGGCATGGTGACCTTCCCTTAGTTCTTCAAATGCACCAAAATCCTTCATCTCAATGATCTTCTACATGTCCCTGCCACTGCCTGGGACACGCTCACATCTTATGACCCCCACCCCTGCCCCTGCCCTAAAGAGAAGGCTGCTCAGCGGTTACAGCCTCTCCCAGAGCTGTGGGCCCTTCTGTCCTAATGCTCCCCACAAAAGCAGCAGCACTGGGTTTGTGATGTTTCGTGCGTGTCTCCCAGTGGCTCTGGGAGCTCCGTGAAGGCACTGTCACCCTCGCGCGCCCAGCGTAGAACCTGCCAAGTAGTAGGTGCTCCATAAAAAGTAGCAAAATGAGGGGCACCTGGGCGTCTCAGTGGGTTAAAGCCTCTGCTTTCGGCTCAGGTCACGATCCCAGGGTCCTGGGAGGGAGCCCCACATCAGGCTCTCTGCTCGGCGGGGAGCCTGCTTCCCTTCCTCTCTCTGCCTACTTGTGATCTCTCTCTGTCAAATAAATGAATAAAACCTTTTAAAAAAAAAAAAGGTAGCAAAATGAGGAAAGACGCCACCAAAAGAAACTTGAATGAAAGCAAATACTAGAGTGTCTGGGTGGTTCAGTTGTTAAGCGTCTGCCTTCAGCTCAGGTCATGATCCTGGGGTCCTGGGATCAAGCCCCACAGCAGGCTCTCTGCTCACTGGGGAGCCTGCTTCTCCCTCTTCCACTCCCCCCTGCTTGTGTCCCACCCCTCCCCCTCTGTGTCAAGTAAATAAATAAAATCTTTTTTAAAAAATCAAAGAAAGAGACTCTATAATACAGAATTATAAAGAAGGAGCCTTGATAAATTCCCTCATTTTGTGGACAGCTAAACAGATATGTACCCAAAGACAGCAGCAGACCTAGGATTCTTAGCGCCCAAATGTTCTGCATTCAGGGCAGTGCTCTTTCCAACGTGCAGGAAAGTCTACTAAGACGAAGGCTGAAGGAATTGAAGAACACCACACCCAAAGAGAAGGGCTGTGGTCTTGGAGCAACTGAAGGAAAGCGAAAGACTTTGGTTTCCAGCCGACATGGTAACAGACCCTCACATTTTATGCATCTAGAAGACCAGAAAACCATCCATGAAACAAGTTTTCAGGCACTAGACAATAGGCAGCACAGACAAGGGCCCTCAGAGAAGGGACACAAACAAGGGGCCCCGAGACAGCCGCCTCTGACCACCCAGAGAGATTCTAAAGTTGCAGAGAAGGAAGCTCAAGGGGGCCAAAGTCCTTGGAGTTTGCAAAGGAGGGAGCAGCACATGCCAACAGAGTGGCCCCCGGAAGCTTCCAGCGAGTACTGATCGGCGCACACGCGAGAAGATACTACAGAGACTGGGGAGGAACCAGCAGGTCCTTCCCGGCACTCAGGTGCATGGAGCAGCCGTCTGTTCCTACCTGTGACACATGGCACTGTTGTAGTAGTGGCTAAATTAGCCTAGACTAAAGCCTGCTCTAGACCCCCCCATGGATCTAACTTCAAGCCTCACCAGAATCCAGTCCAATCTAAAAAAGTTAACTACATACCATAACAAGATCCAACATTAGCAGATTTATACAATTTATACTGTGAAATCTAATACCCCCAAAATTCTTCATGTCTGGCATCCAATCAAATATTACCATGCATGAAAAGCAGCAAAATAATATGACCATAATCAGGAAAAATGAATAAACTGAGAAAGTCCCCAAAATACTAGCGATGATAGAATAGAAAATGATCTTTAACAACAATTACGGGGCGCCTGGGTAGCTCAGTCAGTTAAGCGTCTAACTCTTGGTTTCGGCTCAGGTCATCATCTTGGGGTGGTGAGATCAAGCCCCACACTGGGCTCCATGCTCAGGATGGAGTCTGCTTAAGATTTTCTCTCTCCCTCTCCCTGGCCCCTCCCCACCCACACTTCTACAAGGATGCACACACACATGTGCACACTCTCTAATAAGTGAATCAATCAAAAAAAAAATGCTCCATATGTTCCAGAAATGCATGGGCATGTTGATGAAAGAAATGGAAATATAAGAGACCCAAATGTCAATTCAAGAGATGAAAAACCTAAAACTGAATCAAAACATAAACTAAAAGAAATGATAGATTAGAGAACTGAAAAAAATCAAAGAACTTGAAGGTACAGCAATAGAAACTATCTAAAATGAAGCACAAAGAGGAAAAAGAAAAAAGAATAGAGCATCAGTTATTTGGAGACATTATCAAGCACCATAACATATATAGAACTCGAGTCCCAGAAGAAAAGTAGAGGGCAAAAAGAGAGATGGAGAAAGCATCAAAAATTTTAGAAGAGCTAAACATTCTGAAATTTGACCTAAACTATAAGCCTACAGATTCCAGAAAATCAACAAACCCCAAGCAAAATACACATAATGAAACATCACATTGAAGTACAACACAATCTACTGCTAAAAATCAGCGATCAAGAAAAAAATTTAAAAAGTGGTCAGGAAAAAAAATACATTACATTATAAAAAGATATTAATAATAGACTTCATGTCAAAATCATTAAGGAAG